CCGGCCCCCCCCCGCCAGCCCCCCCCCCCCCAACCTCAATCATAACAGACTGTTAGCCTGAACGATGACATAAAAAATATATTTATTACCAATTCCCCAACAAACTGTACTGCACTGTACATTTTGCATGTCAAATTGCTTTATCTTTTCCATTTTTTAGCTAATATACAAACCTAAATTCTAAAATCTAAATAGTGATGCTGTATGAAGAAAGTTACTACTATACGCACTGCAAGAACTACGCTTTGGACCCATTATTACAAATACAAAATTAAAGTCACTGAAAAGTTTAAAAGTTACGGTCGGGAAACATGAGATTCCAGGGTCACAAAGACAGCTGACGTGTGAGGGAGGCTGGTTGCTGAGACAAAGATGCGCAGTGTACCCAAAACATTACAGAATAAAGCATTCATCAATGTAGAGTCCCCCGTTTGGTGCACATTCCAATATTTTTCTAGTTTGCTGTATTACAAATTGATTGAAAATTTGGGCAGTCCACATTATTGACCCCCAAGTGAATTCTTCAGGAATAGTTTTGCAGATTTCAGACCATACCTGAACCCCTTTTGACTCAATTAGCTCAATCAGTCATGGACTCAGATGATAAGGGCTTGTGGCACTTGAAGGCTAGATTGAGAGGCACCACTTGTACATCATCTGTAACAAGTAATTTCATCATTGCCAAAAACCAAGTAAGTTGAGATCTCAGGAAGAAGGCAGTGTCTGCCCATCTTAAGGGGGACGGTTATACTGCCGTTTCCATGCATTTCACGGTATTCAGAACAGCTGTATGTTGCATCATCTGGAAATACAAGGAGACGCATTCTATTAGAATTGAACCTGGCCAACTGGTCAATACTCTTTGGAAGAGGTGGAAATTTCAGGTCCAGAAAGTAAAAATCCAGACCAAGATTATGTTTCAACGAACTAGGTGAGTACTCTGTGACTCTTTATGCTCAACTGGTTGGTTTGAAACAAAATCTTGGACTGGATTTTTACTTTCTGAACCTGAAATTTCCACATCTGCTCTTTGGAGAGGAAAATCATCATAGATGTCAGCAAGAACCCTCAGATCTCTGCAAAGATAATTGTCACTGAACTGGCCTCTTCTGGACTTGAAGTCTCAAAAATGATTGTTGTGAGGGCTCTTCATCGTGGTGGGCTTTGAGGTAATCGCCCAAGGATTAACTCAAACAGCGGCAAAGTCAGACTCAAGTTTACCCGGAACCATTTGAAACTTTTGGAAGTCTGTCATTTGGTCTGCTGAGATAAAACTGGAACTGTTTGGACATATGGATTGTGCTTTTGTTTGGCAAAGGAAGGGAGAGACTTTCAACCGTAAAAACGCATTTCCCATAGTTAAGTATGGTGATGGCAGTATAATGCTATGGGCTGTTTTGCTGCTTCAGGTACAGGGAACCTTGTTAGAACATAGGGTCATGAAGAAAGAAGATTATGTTGACATTTAGACGGATAATACGAAGACATCCGCTGCCAGTCCAGCTTTAGCAATTGTACCTCAGTGTGGTTCCTCTTTGCCAAAAATAAAAGCGTGTTTCTAAAGGTCTGAATCTTCAGAAGCAGGATGATGGACCCAGCAGCCTGTGGCATCTTTTCCTGTTTTATCTGGTACTTTTATTTTTCCACATTCTTCACCCCTGATTTCTTGCTGCATTTTTCCTGCCATCGTTCTCTTCTGTATGATCTTTGATGGCCCCACAGGAGGATGTTGAAAGCACTTTGGATTCTTCATGAGTAGAAGCTCACTGCTGTTAGAGAGTATACAAATGTACATGTTTGCGGCCAGACAAAGGTAAAGCATGTTCATGATGCTAATCAGAGTGCTCTCCGCACCAGGGGAGCAAAGCAGAACAAGCATTGCTGTGAATATATTACAACAACATACAGGGAATAATATTGTATTTTAATAATTTGGAATTTAAATTTTACGTATTCATGGAATATGGATATAGTGAATGAGTCTGTGAATGAGAAATATTTTTATTTATTTAAAAACAATCACAAATCCACTAACACAGCAATCAAAAATGAACTACGAGCAGCATAACATAAACAGCAAACATAAAATGGACAGATCTTCAAAGGGATACTAAAACAATCGCTGTCTTTAGTCCATGTGATATAGAGAAACTGCTGACTGAGCTCTTTGGCACGGTGAACCTTGAGGAGAACCATGCGGGCTCTACGTAGCCGCGTACCCTACACTGTCGACAGCCGGGTACCCTACACTGTCGACAGCCGGATACCCTACACTGTCGACAGCCGGGTATCCTACACTGTCGACAGCTGGGTACCCTACACTGTTGACAGCCTGTTACCATACACTCTCAACAGCCGGGTACCCTACACAGTCGACAGCCGGGTACCCTACACTATTGATAGCTGAGAGAGGCAGGCCAAGGGCAGACAGGGGTCAGGCTCGTTTGGGTGCTGTGTGCTTCAGCAGGTTAGGACCCTGTGCTTGTAATTTTAACATCATTGGTTCACATCCTCATCTGACGCTGCTTTCTCCCAAAAACTGTTGTTGCTTTGAATAAAAGCATCTTGTAAATAAAATGTATTTGCAACTTAATGTCAGTAATGACATCTGTGCATCCTTTAAATTATTACATATGACAACATGTTTATACGGCTCAAAATTTATGTTTTTAATGGCTTTTACAGTCATCCATGCATTTTGATTAATCACTAATTCTGTGGCACTGATGTAGGAAACACAGTACACTCACACACACTCACTTCAGACCTGTGTAAGTTTTTATTTCAAAATAAATGGAACTAGATAAATTCACACATTTATGTAAAACTGTCAGTGCATCATTAGAACTGTATAGATCTTCAGTGTCATTATGCTCAATCTTCATCTTTTGTTATATTCTGCCATAGCATGAAGCCCCAAGGTTTATTTCTCATTGTGGATACATTTTTTATCAAACTGATTTAATAAATACATAATAGCAAGGAAAAGTAACCAGCCTGGGGCAAAGATCACTTTGTGCGTTTGTGCTATGCACATAATGAAGCCCAAAAGGGCTGGTGTGCACGCGTGTGCGTGTTTGCGGTATACGCACATGGCTCTGCCGCTCTCAGCATCGGTAGCCCCCCCCAGATGCTGCGCACATTTCCCCCTTTTAAAAGTTATGCTTTTTTAAATGAGTAACAATCTATCCCGCGTAATAGAACAGACGCTCAGATTGTGCATTCAGAGATAGGCGTCACGCCTCTCGTTTAAAAATTAAACAACCCGTTGCATTATTTTTTTCTTTTCCTTTGAATGTGCATTTCTGTTAAACTAATTTGAATGTTCAAGCAAAACAATTTAATCAGCGTTATCAGTTGTTTTTGTTGGAAAAAGTTGTAACAGCAATTGTACAAGCAGCAAAAATGTGAAGAAATACAAAAATTCCACGAATAGTAAATATTGTCTAGGAAAGAAGCATTTATCGTTACCATGTGATGGACAGTTTTATTTCTATAATTCTGAGGACTTTAAAAAAAAAAAAAAAAAAAAAGTGGACTGATGTTTATTATATAAGAATGGATGTCTAATTACCTCAACCGATTTAATTTCAGCAAAATATTTACTTATTTATTTCTGAATATTCCGCTAGAGTGTGACACACGAAAACCAAAACAAAACATACTGAGCCCTGAAATATTAATCACCGTACAATAAACAGCAAGACAGACATGCAGAAGGATTTTTTTTATAACTATGACGGCACTGGGGGCACAAAAAGTCCATGGCACTCCAAGGGTTTATATATATATATATATATATATATATATATATATATATATATATATATATATATATATATAGAGAGAGAGAGAGAGAGAGAGAGAG